ACCAGCGGTTCTCCACGGAGGTTTTCTCGGCAGCGGCGGCGTCGTCAGCGGCGGCAGCGATTGGAAGGTTGTCTAGCCGTTGAGCTAGCTAATTCTGAAATGAAGATTGTGAGCGGTCAAAGACAACAAGGCAACATTCAGCTTACCTAGGGGTCGCTTACCTTGTGGTCTCCTGCGAGGCTGTAGGCGAATACGCATCTTCGAGATGACGAGGCGATGGTCGGTCCACCCGTCAGCGCCCGCGATCGCCTTCGTCGCCAGCACGTCCCGCTGATCTCGCCTCCGGACAAGGACATAGTCCAGCAGGCGCCACTGGCGCGACCGAGGGTGCCTCCAGGTGGCCTCTTCTCGCTCCGGCAGACAGAAGATGGTGTTCGTCAGGATGAGGCGGTGTTCTGCGCAGGTGCGTAGAAGCAGCAGGTCATTGTCGTTTGAGCCGCGGAGACCGTGGGGACCCAGCACTCCTTTCCAGGCTGTGTGGTCTGTGCCGACGCGGGCGTTGAAATCACCGAGGACAATCAACTTGTCCGCCTTCGGCACAGTCGCCAAGAGGGCATGCAGTTCCGCGTAGAATTTGCCTTTTGCGGCGGCGTCGGGGCTGCTCATCGGCGGAGCGTAGGCGCTGATGATGGTGTCGAATTTGCCTCCACCCCGGAGAGGCAGACGGAGGCTCATCAGGCGATCGTTGATGCTCTGTGGCAAGCAGGGCAGTCGTCCCACGATGTCGTTCCGGATGGCGAAGGCGACGCCCGCGTCTCGTCGCTCTGCCTTCGGTCGACCACTCCAGAAGAAGGTGTAGCCGGCACCCACCTCCTCCAGTTGACCTTGTTCGGAGAATCGGGTCTCGCTGAGTGCGGCGATGTCCACCTTGTATCGCGCCAATTATCGTGCCATTAGCGCCGTCCTCCGTTCCGGTCGGTTGCTCCTCGGATTGTCTAAAAGGGAACGAACATTCCAGGCTGCCAGAGTGAGCGGACTCACCCTGCCAGTCTGGTGACAACGAGTGGGGCGACGGGAAAGGATGGAGAAGAAGATGGCAAAGGAGAAGAATAGGCAGAGGAAGAGAAAGAAGAGGTAGGATTAGGAGGTGAGCGAGTATTGTTGTTGTTGTTGTTATAGGTATTGTTGTTGTTTCGATTTTGATTGTTTCGACCATGTTTAGACGTCTGCGGCCCTGGCTAGCCTGAAGACGGCGTGGTGCCCAGCAATGTTTAGGCCACCTTTTCTAGGCCCTTCCCCTCGTGGAGGCTGACAGTGCCATCCCTGAATAGGGCTGCCATGTGCCGTTGTGGCACGGCCGGACTCCACTATGGGGCCATGACTTCGGGTTGTAGTGGAGAGCGACTCGAATTCGCCGTAAGCTGCGGTCTCCGACGGCGTAGGTGGGCGCGTCAAGGCGATGTCGATGTGGAGATCCATCCTGTAACCGGCTGTCCAGCGGCGTGCAGAGACGAACCACGTCACGACGGTGCCGACGCAAGGTTCCTTCCGACCTTCCATCCAGCGGAATCCGCAAAACCTGTGCACACGGCACAGCGCACAGGGCCCCCTCACCTGGTTTAGCCCGCCGGTCGAGACGGTTGCCCGAGCTGTGGCCGCTGAGTAGAGCTCAGCTACGTGGAGCCACGTGTGAGAGGTGAGTGCCAGCAAATGAACGCCTGCGTAGTCTCACCTGCAAGCAAGTGAGCGACCACTACGACCATCACGTGAACCCACCGTTGACACCCCTACACCCCCACAACTATATCAACGGACATTCCGGGGTCGAATCGGACTTGTTGGACATCTTCAGATTAACTGTGCCTCTCGAACTGCACCAACCATCGTCCCCCCGCCCGCTTCTTCCTCTTCTTCCCCCTCTCCGCCGCCAACTAACTCTGAGAATTCTTCTGAAACACCACTTCCATCATCCTCCTCCCCCTCCTCTTCCTCCTTGTCCACTGCTCCAACGACGGCCGCTCAGGCGACTGTCCCGCGCGCAACAACCGACACTACCACCACCTCCCCCGACTCCAGTGATGAGGATCAGGACTACACCTGCCCGCACTGTTCCCGCACCTTCACCTCACACATCGGCCTGGTCGGTCACTTGCGAATCCATCGCACAGAGACTGGCGAACCAGTGCCTGATGCACCAACCTACAACCACCGCACTCGCTTCCACTGCCCACACTGCCCTCGCACCTTCAGGCACCGCATGGGCCTATTTGGCCATATGCGCATCCACGAGAGCGGAATTGACCGCAACTCCGAAAAACCCACGACAACCAGCGTGCACACCCCCACCCTCGCTCCATCGCCCTGCGCGCCCATCACCACCACCATCACCGCCACCACCACCACCACCTCTGTAGCTGACACTGACACCGCCAACTACTCATGCCCACACTGTCCACGCACATTCACCTCACGCATCGGCCTGGTCGGTCACTTGCGAATGCATCGCAAAGAGACTGGCGAACCAGTGCTTGGAGCATCAACCTATGCGCACCAAGCTCGTCTCAACTGCCCACACTGCCCTTGCACTTTCAGGCATCGCATGGGCCTATTCGGCCACATGCGCATCCACGACGACCAGTGGTAGACAACCGCCGGTCACACCACACATTCACTCACACCCTACCTCCTCCACCACCACCATTACCCCACCAGAAATCAACATTCACACACCTCATGCACCCAACAGCCACCTCCCACGCAAGTGGGAAGTGTGCATCTCTACTCGGTCCACATGCGGCTTCGGCTGCACGGGTGACTTGAGTCCGAGACTATCCCGACACGTCAAGCGTCGTGAATACGCAGGTTGCTGATTGACGCCCGCTCTTGGTTCACGCAGTTCGTCGCGTTGTGTGTGTGTGTGTTGTGTGGAATGGCGGACCGGTGGGCTGGGGACGGGCTGAAACAGCACCTTCCACGGCACTCTCACGCAAGTGAGAGACACGCCGTTCAACCCCATTGGGTGAAATCCTGGTGTTTGTGTGCATGGGGGGCCAAGTCGTGCCGTGGCGCGCGCAGTCATGGTCAGTCGATCATGACAGCCACCGCGCCCATTTCCCACTCCAGTTTGCTGACCGGCTCGGACAGCGGCTGAGGTGTGGGAGTGGGAAGAGAGAGTGATGTCGACGACTCAGCGCACTTTCCTCACTATAAACAATCTGATGCGCTTGACGCTATCACGGTGCGCTAAAAGCCGTGGCTTGGAATTTTGCCAACTGACGGGGTAACTTCGACCTCCTCCTTGACTGGTGGCGGTCTGAGAGTCAGGCTGCAATGGCTCCTTTTTAATGTGGCCTTTATGGCAGTCCCATCAGAGTGTGGGATCAGAGCCAGGCGTTGGCGGCACGCCCAGGTGCGGCTTCGGCCGTGCCAGCCTCCAGATCTCTGTTGTTGGTTGAAATCCTGGTTATTTGTTGTGTGAACCGGGGGATGTGGTGGAACGCCAAGGTGAGGATCCGTCCGAGCCATCCACCTGCGGCCTCCCCCGTCTCCGGTCTTCTTGACTCTGTCTTGACACTTGGCCCAGACGGGGGAGGAGGAGAGAGTGTAGGTAGATGCTACGCAAGACTACCGGCACTATAAACCCCTGTGTAAGTCGCCGTCCCTGCTCCCATTGCTGCTGCAACTGTGGGGCACACGGTGGACATCATCGAAACCGATGGTCGAACTGTCATCATGTGAAGTCGTCATCTTCCTCTATTTTAGTGGTTGCATGACGTGCGTTGCTACCAAACGACTAACTTTCAAATGTAGCACTCTCGTTACGGATAGCAAAACCTTGGCCGAACTACTGTAGCCCAAGGAGATGAAAATAGTGAATATAGCGCCGAAAGTCAATAACCTAATGCAGACGTTTACCCAACGAAAGCGAAAAGAAACAACCTTGGAAGCATACATCTAAGGGGGGGAGTTGGCTGTATTTCAGTCTCGTCCGCTCTCTCTTAAGAGCTGAAGAGTCAACCAGCGAAAGCCCAAACCGGGGGCAATTAATGCCATGGCGCCCGTTTGTTAAATAGCGAATAACGCACCCATCATCGGCAAACTGTGTTCGTAGACTGAATTGAGAATGAACCGTGACGTTACTGAAAGTCCATCATAGTTGTGGAGAACCTCGAACCGTAGGTCCGCATCGGGCGTAACCACCGAGGAAGAGCGTCCGTTCTCGCCCCACTCCCAAATTGTAGATCAAATCGTATAGCTTGGCAGCATAAACGCCGGCTTCAGGATATGAGTACTGCTGAAACTCCCGTATTTCAAGACATGTTTTAATGTCTATTTGACAGGAAGGAAATAAGCACAAATCCCATCAGAAAGTTGGAAACCGGAGGGAGCTAGCGCCAGACCTTATCACCTACCATAAAAATGTCTTAAGACTTAGTTAAATCTCGGTTAATCACACGTGAGGGCTCCAGATGAGATGCTGCCCCATCCACTCACTGTATGCTCAGCCGGGGAACTGCGAGGTGCCCAGACCGCGATCAAAAACATCAGTCCCAAGGTAAACCGATGTGAATAGTTGAACCGTGTTCATGACAGTTCGACCATCGGTTTCGATTATGTCCACCGTGTGCCCCACAGTTGCAGCAGCAGTGGAAGCAGGTACGGTGACTTACACAGGGGTTTATAGTGCGGGTAGACATGCGCTGCATCTACATACCTACACACTCTTCACCTCCCCCGCTTAAGCCCGGTGCCAAGACAGAGTCAAGAAGACCGGAGACGGGGGAGGCCGCATGTGGATGGCTCGGACGGATCCTCACTTTGGCGTTCCTCCACACCCCCTGGTCCACACAACCAATAACCAGGATTTCAACCAACAACAGAGATCTGGAGGCTGGCACGGCCGAAGCCGCACCTGGGCGTGCCGCCAACGACTGGCTCTGATCCCACACTCTGATGGGACTGCCATAAAGGCCACATTAAAAAGGAGCCATTGCAGCCTGACTCTCAGACCACCACCAGTCAAGGAGGAGGTCCAAGTTAGCCCGTCAGTTGGCAACATTCCAAGCCACGGCTTTTAGCGCACCGTGATAGCGTCAAGCGCATCAGATTGTTTATAGTGAGGAAAGTGCGCTGAGTCGTCGACCTCACTCTCCCTTCCCATCCCCACACCCCAGCCGCTGTCTGAGCCGGTCATCAGACTGGAGTGGGGAATGGGCGCGGTGGCTGTCATGATCGACTGACCATGACTGCGCGCGCCACGGCACGATTTGGCCCCCCATGCACACAAGACCAGAATTTCACACAACGGAGGTTGAACGGCGTGCCTCTAACCTGCGTGAGAGTGCCGTGAAAGGTGCTGTTTCAGCCCATCCCGGCGTGGCCGGGCGGCCAAGGGTGTCAGTCCTTGCACGAGCACCTCGTGTTCATAGAATGTCAAGGGCAGCCATGTTGCCATATGGACAGCACAGGTACTAGTCAAAAGCTCCTACACGCGTTTCGCTCACGTTCTGTCGCTGTATGCCGCGGCGGAGACATTCGGCTCATCAGTGGATCCCCCACCAAGTGCCATCATCGACCGAATTACAAGACATGCTCTTTCCGCTGAGCCTTGGGCTCAATGCAGAGATCTTATAGACACTCACATAACGACTAGGAATATATACTGATAGGAGACTACCGATAACGACGAGAGAGACTGGGATGGCCATTTCTGCCTTATAAGCCGTCGTCCGTTAGCCTTACCCAAGCCCGGAGTTCGCATCACTTGAGTTCGAACCCGCGTTTCTTAATCAATCGAGCGTTATGAAGTCTAACGCCCTACCAATTAAGCCACGGGCCCGTTGTCCTGTCGCTTTGGATGGCCACTGGTAACTTATGTTGGAAGTGCGGTCAGGTACAGTCCCGTTGTACCTTGCTCTAACACTGACCAAAGCAGGAGCAAGCCCCAACCCGAATGGTAAACCTCGGTCTCGTGGCAAGAATCAGTTTATCGCATCTGGAAATCGGTAGGGCTCTACCCCCTATCTCCAGCCTCATAGCTTCGGAATACGTAACCATGGCCTTGACAACAACCACAAAACCTACTTGATAGTTGAAGAACAACTAACCGTAACTAAAACCTTAAATGTGATCGTTGCCTTACTGTTAGAGCGAAGATATGACCATAATCTCAAAGCTGCCTCCCGTAAGATGCTCAATTGCTGTCTTAAATCTACCAACAAGCATCCAACCCTCAGCTCTCAGAGGGTGCCCATTTCAAGGTTCAGATCTCGTTTAGGCATGTTTCCCGCATAAGGAGGAACCGTAGTCGTCAGTAGGGTTTTCATAATGTAGTTGAAGGTGGCGCTATGAGTCAAATGAACTTCTCTCTTCTCGCTAACTAGCAAAATATCCCTTTTCAGGCCAGACCGTCGAACTACAGATTCCCTTCCGTCGCAGAATGCGTCAGCTTCAACTACTAGAGCATTAGACAACAGCGCATGGCGTCAGTGCACCAAGAGGTAGTCAAATCTTCGGGTGTGGCTAGGCACTGAGTTCGTAAAAAGAGCCCAAATCTAATCTCGACCCTAACTTTACGCCACCCCACAGTCTCTGACCTAGAATTCGTCCCAACCGTAAATTCTATCGTAACCGTAACCAGTTTAAACCAAGTCGAAGCATGCTTTAGACGGGTGCGTGATACAAAACCAGACGTATGTAATTATCTATGAGCAGATTACAGGTAATAGCACCATTACACGACGAACGTTCCTCGCTACAAGTAAAACATGCAGCCCCAAGTTAATGTGCCAGGAGAATGCACCGAGAGGTACACCATGAATCTAGTAACTACAAGATAATTCATCCGTCAAGATGATTCCGGCGCAAACAGTGCACAGTAAACCGCGATTTAATCGGGTTTTTGAATGACCGGAGTGCCATGGTATACTTGTTCTGGTCGGATAAGCTGTGAGTCGGTGAGGCCTAGAGGAGCAACTGTCAGCTGAATGATAAGATCTTATCATTCAGGCGCAACACCTTTGCACGGAGGGAAAAAACCCGAAGTCGGTAGATAAACAGCTGGAAAGGACTCACGGAAAGCGAACTTCAGATGACAAATTGCCGACGGAATCCTGGTCAGATATATTCCTCACCCAACCCATCAACGGGGCATCGGTCTGGATGTCAGGCAGAGGATACATGCCCAGGTAGTTGGTGCTTATCTCCTGCCAAGCTGGGGATGAGCAATTCAAGTCCACTGACTGGCCTGTGCAGATAGTGTTACTTGAGAGCCAGGAGAGAAGGAGGGCGTGTTTCGGACAGGCTACCACACTCACATGTCCCAGAACAAAACATGGTTTTGGTGCGGACGTTGTGACCGATGAATCTTCTCACGCGCCGACATTTTGCATCACGTGAGCTAATTTTCTACATAGAGACTCAACTTCTTACTACCTAAACATGCTATAAAGATCACATTGTGAAGGAACCATTGCCCTCTGACGCTTACTTCTGATTTGGGCGGGGTTATCTCATCATTTGGCAACCTCCTAAAAAGCAACTGCCGGTGCGCCGCAACCGTTTTAAGCGCATTTTGCCGTTTGTGAGGAGGCTCCGATTTGAACAAACCCTCCTCTCTTTCCTCGACATTAACAGGTTCGGGCCAAGCCGACTGGGGATGACGTTCGAAGGGGCGGCTGGCACGGCGCGAAGTCTCATCTTAAAATGCGCCGCATAGCACCAACAGCAATATCACAAATCAGCCCTAGAATTTAAACTGGGACAACTAAGATGTAAGTGACTATTTCTTCGTCAATGAATAAGTTAGTCTGTCCGCGAGATCCCTGTGCGAGAGGTTGTGCGCAGCGTTTAGGGTGCCATGAATGCAAGCAGCAGCCGCACAGCGCTGTGTAACATAGTCAGAATATCATTACATAAAAGGACAAGAATGATGGCTAATAACGCAGAAGCGTCAACTTCATTCTTTATTATACCATTACACGACGAACGTTCCTCGCTACAAGTAAAACATGCAGCCCCAAGTTAATGTGCCAGGAGAGTGCACCGAGAGGTACACCTTGAATCTAGTAACTACAAGATAATCCATCCGTCAAGATGATTCTGGCGCAAACAGTGCACAGTAAACCGCGATTTAATCGGGTTTTTGAATGACCGGAATGCCATGATACACTTGTTCTGGTCGGATATGCTGTGAGTCGGTGAGGCCTAGAGGAGGAACTGTCAGCTGAATGAGAGATCTAAATCCCTCTTCCCACTCAGTTGGATAGCACCGCGCGGACGAATGGCATTATGTTTAAAGGATTACTGTGTCATCAAATGTACTCCAGTTCGCAAGACTATTTCGAATTAACAGCTGAAAGTCGCTCTCTTCTTGGCGGACGAGTGCACCAATTAGTTCTTCTCACAATATCGAGAAGTGTGTCCAACTGACAGGTTTATGAAGTCATGCAAAAAGTAAATGATAGGCCGTTGGTAGACGACTTTGGCTGCCTCGTGTTGAACTGCCTAGGAATATCCAAGATAAGGCTGAAAGCGAGGACTGACTCATCCAGAGTGTACAGGCAGCATTGCAGGTAGTTACAACTAGTACTATCGGCGCGCCATCATCGATCGAATCTCATTTGCTTCAAATTCGTCCATCTGCGGCTAATCGGTGAACAGAAAACATCGATGGACATCACGGTTTCGTAAGCCGAAGGCAGTCACTCGTGACATGCGCACCGAAAACGATGGGGGCAAACGGTTTTGTTGACGATCGTAAAAGTGGGAAGCTTTAAGTCTTCTCTTGTCCAGTCACACTTGCGGGGGACATTTTCTAGTGTAATGCCAAATATGTAACAACTATGACGAGTTCATTGAAAAGTGCCAGTCACCGGCAACTCACTCGCTTGCGCCCCTTTTTCCGTAGATCTGAGCTTTGTTTACTTTCGGGCTTTGCAAGGCAATTGCGGCTGAGTTCGAACATGATTAGGAATTCACGACGCTTTTACGACCAATGCGGTCACTTAGTAAATACAACCTACGCACTCATCTATAACCTTAGTCTTAATCTGCTGTTGTCTGCGTTTTCGGATGCTGCATATAACCGACACCTTTGACGTACATTGTTCTCGTACTGGCAATCCAATTTTCGTACTTGAAACCACTTGGTGGGTGTCACTGTGTCCAACACGTTTCTAATTCTGGACGGACGAGAATTTCCTATAAATAGATGTTCCTAATCCGTAGCCTACTTGGCGTTCGTACCAAAGCCCACACCGTTCGATTTGTGACTTCACCAAAGCCGCGCATTACATTGACGGATGAATACCTGCGCCTGTCAAATAGCAACTACCCCACGCAGTGTCGTAAGAAGTCATTTCATTCACCCGGAAAACAAATCTCGTACTAAAGTGGCCGACCCCGTGTGAGCACCGCACATCTTTTAAAGTAAGAACTGCAACACAAATTTACTTGCAAATCGTTGATTTCTTTTAAAAATTCAGGAAAATGGCTGACGTTTACAAGCGAATGCTTGCTGCTCCGTGAATCCTGTTGAGCATTTCCCCTGGGCGCTGGGACGACCAGACCCAAGCAGTCAAGTTATTGTCGGGGTTGGCTGAACCATCCGGTGCTGCGAAGGCCTCTACTGTGTTGCCTGGCTCGCCGGATGTGCCTACAAATTTAAAAATATTTTAATGAAGGTCGGTTACGAAAAAGAAGATTCCACAACAGAGAAAGAAGGAAACAAAGAGGCATAGGCAGTATTCACATAAGTGCTGCAGAGTGGCCATTTAGGGAAAAAAACATGTCATGTTAACGTCTTTCCCAGTCTTCAGTCCTCTACCTAAGGAAGGTGAATAAGTCAAATGGAATATTGTACATAGAGTTTTTGTCAGCGCTGCATAAGTTGCATGATATTCTACGGATTATTCCTTAAAATTCATGCAAAGGCAACGTCTTTCACCGGCTTACAGTGGAGTCACTTTATAGCTGAGGCCAAGATTTAAAAACATACTGTGGTGGGATATGATGAATTTCATGCATTCAAAACTGTTTACTAGTCAGAAAAATTCCATATAAAGGTAAATTATCCTGACACCACAATAATACAACCGTCAGTGAGGTCGCTCCATTCAGTCTCAAAGCAAAACGCGGTGGACATATCACAGACACACACACACTGCTGGTGCATAGTGCGCATTTAAAAGAAAAAAAGGGAAGAAAAGCAAAAAGGAGAAAGAGGAGAAATGCATTTAATGGTGTGTTGCATTACCGGTGCCGAGAACAAAGACGGCGTTGGCGGAGGTGAGAAGAGTTAACCGGCAGCGAGGCCCCTGCATGTGCGCCAGTTCTGTCCACTGGCCGAGGTGGCTGCGGGCGTCTGGCGGCGTAAACATCTCCACAGTGTTGAGATCTCGGCCATCCGCTCCACCGGCGACCAGAATTGCTCCCCGAAATGCCGTCGCTGCGAGCCCCCATCGCGCAGTTCTCATGGGCGCAGCCGACTGCCAAAAGTTCGCTGAGGTCGCCTCCTGCCGCCGCCGACGCCAGTCTGCTCGCAGATGGCAGAAGAGCACAGAGGCAAGCGCGGTGCGATGTTTATCCAAACCGCAGAACACCACGGAGGAGTTATTCCAAACCCGACTGCAGACAGGCGTCAAGCCGGGTGTCGCGTGGATTCCAACCGCCAAAAACGAAGACCTGACTGTCGCCCGGCAGACAGGCAGCGGCTGCGCGGACCCTCGCCTCCGGTAGTTCGGGCAGTTTGTGCCACCTGCTCGGGCAAACAGGCGGGTGAGGAGATGAGGGGAGAAATATTTTTTGGCGAAAAAAAAATAAATAAATGTGCGTCAAAACGAGCGTCTGCACTCACTTGTCCTGCCTCACGTCATTAACCTCACAGGAGGACATTGGTTTCACGAGAATCCCACCCATCGATCCACCGAAAACGCCAATCAGCGCCTCCTCTACGTCGGCAGCATCGGTGGAAACTGTTTGCGTGTTAGGAAAAGGACAGGACGGAGCTCCACGCTAATCGCATCATATTGGCGGCTTGCATTCCGTCTTTGCGAGCCACTCTCAGTGGCCCCCTCGGGGAGACGAACTCCGTTCTACGATAGCCGAGAATGCCACTGAGGTAAAATTATCTTCTATTCGGTGATTTTGTTCACGGCTTCTGCACTTTCGAGTCTCGCAACTACGTTCTTGCAGTATGTCTACACGGGCCGAGTGGAGATTAGAGAAGACAATGCGAGAGGCCTGGTGACGCTTGCAAGAGTGCTGGAGTTGCCTCACCTGGTGGACTGGGGAGTGGCTTTCGTGGCCAGGGGTACGCGCATTTCCTGTCTGTCTGTTCTAAAGCCTCACTTTAGAAAATCTGTCCGACATCTTGGACTTTGCGAGGTCGCTGAATGTTGAAGCACTGACGGAGAATCGCCTACCTGCTCAAACTCTGCTCACTGTGCTTCAAAGTGAAGATTTGTCTGTGTCGTCTGAAGAGCAGGTTATTGCGGCCATTGGACGGTGGACGGATGCAGGTGCGTGCCTGGCGGATGATGACGAGAGGCTACAATTGCATGCCCCAGCAATGCTAAAGGGGGTGCAGTGGCACCAGACGACCGTGGAATGTCGCAATTGTCTGCTGGAGAATCATCCGCCATTTGAGAAAAGTCCCGTGTGTCTGTAAGTACACGGCATTGCAGCCCTGTTATTTTTCTCTCTAAAAGTCGGCTTTTGTTTCAGATCTTAAATAGGATTGCACCTCAGGCAAGGAGAAGCTGTCCTGTCCTTTCAAAATCCGGTCTCGTGTTCGCCAAGCATTCTTTGGAGCAGACGAAGATCAGACGATTTTCCTCTTAAGAAGTCGCCTTTACCTTTTTCGTATTAACTCACCCCCCTTCTGTGCCAACTACCAACCAACGGAATCCGCTCTGAGCTGCCCTCGAACAATCAGATCCTGTAGGTCGTCAGTACACGCGTGCGTGACGAAGGACCACAATTGCATGCCCCAGCAATGCTAAAGGAGGTGCAGTGGAACCAGACGACCGTGGAATGTCGCAATTGTCTGCTGGAGAATCATCCGGCATTTGAGAAAAGTCCCGTGTGTCCGTCCTTTCCAAAGAGGAAAATCGTCTGATCTTCGTCTGCTCCAAAGAATGCTTGGCGAACACGAGACCTGATATAGAAGGGACAGGACCGCTTCTCATTGCCTGAGGCGCAATCCTATTTAAGATCTGAAACAGAAGCCGACTTTTAGAGAAAAAAATAACAGGGCTGCAATGCCGTGTACTTACAGACACACGGGACGTTTCTCAAATGCCGGATGATGCTCCAGCAGACAATTGCGACATTCCACGGTCGTCTGGTGCCACTGCACCTCCTTTAGCATTGCTGGGGCATGCAATTGTAGCCTCTCGTCACGCACGCGTGTACTGACGACCTACATGATCTGATTGTTCGAGGGCAGCTCAGAGCGGATTCCGTTGGTTGGTAGTTGGCACAGAAGGGGGGTGAGTTAATACGAAAAAGGTAAAGGCGACTTCTTCATTGGTCAAGCCATAGAAGGTGTCGCCGCCAAATATGGAATACCAACTAGGCTGACGTGTCTCGTGATTGGCTAGATAAACAACATGCGGAATGTTTCTAGGATGTATAATGAACCGTAACCTCACGCGAGCGCTACTATCATCTATGGGATTGGTGTTGTTGGACCAACTTTGACTATGCATAGTGGTGAGTTAAAACGTAGTGTCTTGTTTGTTATAATTTAGGTTTCTTATAAAATTACTGAACATAAGAAATAGGCAATAAGTACAAATAAAGTGGAATGATGATGACTAACGTTTGCTCTGTTTTCTGTTCACAATGCCACTCGACCAATCACAACGCCGGATTCGAATCTTTGGACTACTGCAACGCCTGAGGCCCTATAAATACCCCAGAAGGCTAACGAAGTAGCCGAAGTAGGACGCTCGAGCTCTGGCTTTCTGTTGTCTGTCAGCTTTGCTGTTAAGCAAGGACTCCTGCGGCCCTATCTGTGTACATTAGGCCAGTAGCGAGGACTGTAGTAGGTTCAGTTTAATACACGTCTCATTATTTCTTTATAAATTGCCTTAATTCTCCTTGGGGTTCGCCCTCAATCGGATCGGACACGTTACAATTTGGTGGCAGCGGTGCCGCATGCAAAATGGCAGACAATCTCGTAAGTAAACTTGTTAAGGAGCTGCAGAAACTGGCACTGCCTTCGTCGTCTTGCCCCCTCCCTGCCAAACTTTCTCGGTCAGGCGATTTTGATCGTTGGGAAGCCCGGATGACAGGCTACCTAGGCGGCGTGGACGACAAATCTAAGGGCGTGGCAATCCTGTCACAACTAGATGACGATGTCTATGACCTGGCTCGGGCTTCCGGCATAAATTCTACAACGCCTATTGCAGAGATTTTTCGGGACCTTCGTCGGATTCTATGCGGCTCAACGCCCACTTGGCTGGTGCGGTCTGAGTTCCGACGGCGGTTCCAAAGGCCGTTCGAGAGCGTCGTGGAATTTCAGCAGGCACTGCGCCTTCTAGGAAGAAAGGCCTATCCTACTTTGGCAGCCGCCCATCTCGAGGAAACACTCCTCGAGCAGTTCATAGATGGTGTTTCAGACCCGGAGGTTCGCAAAGCACTCCTCCGTCAGCAGCCGTCCAAGTTGGATGATGCACTTCGCCTTGCCCAGCAAGAGGAGGCGCTCCAGGCTGCCTGTGCCACTCCCCTGCGGGGTTGTGTTGGCGTAGCCTCTGTGCGGTCTCAGTCGGGTGTGGACGTCAGCACTCAGACGCCCTGGCATCAGTGCGCGTGTGGGTCTTGCTCCCCTCGGCAAACTAATTGGCGCCGACCTCCAATCCGCCGCACTACCGGCCATCAAGGTCGCCGGTCCATTCAAGCGGTTGATGTTGAGCAGGAAGACAATAGTAAGTGCTTTATTTTTTCGGATGCAGTGGTCTCATGTGTTAGCCATTCAATTTGTCCCTTGGTTAAGGCGACAGTCGGGAATGTTTCCTTTTCTTGTCTGGTTGATTCCGGTGCAGGCTGCTCACTAGTTAAGCAACAGCTCTTTACTGCTTTTCAGACTAAAGTTAAGTATCGAGGGATCCCGGATGGCGCCTCTGCACGGCCACTGGCGCCGGGCTTGAGCACGACGGGTTGGTTGAATTTTCATTGCAACTTAGTGGTCAAATGTTTTCGCATTCTTTTTTGGTGTCTCCGGACATCACTTGGGACTGTATCTTGGGTGTCGATTTCCTGAATAAGTTCCGGTGCGCACTTGATTTTGGCAAACAATTATTCAGTACTACTCTCGTAAATGTACC